TGGCGCAACATGGTGCGTCGGGGCCTCCCAAGCTGGTCGAAAAGTGTCCTGGGGGAGAAAGGATGATGAGGCAAAGGGGGGTGATGGGCACACAGACCTCTTTTCATTACAGGAAGCGAAAGGATCATATTCTTCATTCTTCATAAAAGAGTTTTCAAAAGAAACACTCGTGGGATTTTTCATGGACTTGATGTAAATGAAAACTGATCACGGGATTGGGCTCGACTGTATGTGCTGAAAGCCAGCAGGATTAAATGAAGACCTTAAATACTAGAAACACAATGGATGGTTGAGGAGCCTTCTTCAGTCTAAATTCAGCATCGAAAGAAAGTCACCACCAAAAGTACTCTATTATGCTATAATTGAACATGCTGTATGTCTTTGAGATTTTTTAAAAAAATGTGATAATGCCATTTTTAAATTAAAAGAAAAGAAATATTTGGGGTGAGCGTATATGTTTTAAATAATGCACTTTACTTGAAGTCATACTTGACCCAAATCAAAATGTCACAATAGTTTAAAATCAACTTTAACATTTACTTTAAAGAAACGCAAAACATGAGATAAAAATGATTATAGAAATCATTTTAGTGTAGCATATATTTTTTTATAATGAAATAACGTTAAAAATATTTTAAAGATATAAAAAAATTCAATAAATGAACCTTTTGCAACAATGATTACAAAAGCAATATAACAAGCACCATAAACAAAATGCCATTAAAAAAGTCTATTTCGTGTAATTTTAGAAAAAAAAACATATCAACAAAAATAAAATAAAAGCACTTGTGACAAAAGTTAAGGTAAAAAGGAATTTTGTGGAACATATTTTCTTCCACTAAAGACCTGAAATAAATGCAGCATTTAACCCAAGTGCTACATTGGTAAGCCTTTGTTGAATGTTCTGGAAATTGTTAGTTAGTCATTAGAAATGATCCACTTGATGGTGAAATCCAATTCTGATCGTTATGGATGACTTTTCAAATAGTAATGCACATTATTTCTTGACATAGATTCAACATTTCAATGATTTACTCACATTCCTCAACATAGACAACCTCCTTTTTGGAATGTTTTTAATGAATTGAATTGTTCAATGCCGGCCAAGATTCTAATCAAGCCAAGCCAAGCCAACTAGCTAGCAGGCATGAGCGTGACCGTGTGGCCGCTCAGAGTGGACAAAAACGCTTCACATGATTGGTCCCAGTCTTGGTAAGCTTTGTCTCTTTGTCTCATGCGACAAGGATGTGGAGAACGTCCTTGGAGAGATGAGACGGGAGATTAAAGATGAATAGCCAAAGTGTTTCCTTCCAACGCCTCATTTGGTCCACATGAGTCAGACGGCGTTTGCAACGTGACCTTCTGGAAAAGTCAGCCGCCGTTGACTTTTAGCCCAAATAGCTGCGAGGTCTCATTTGTAGCAGTGTTATGTCACTCGATGACATTTCCACAACTTTTTGGCGCGATCGTCTTGCTGAACTGGACTTGACGCTTCATGAAAACAAAAGTCAACTGTAGACACATAATTAAGAATTAACAGAAAACATGTGAAGTTACCATGCGCCGATTGATGATAACGTGTCATTTTTTTCCAGAATGTTAACTAAAAAAATTGTGACGTTAAGGGAACATTATTTATATTTTCATTCATAATTTATTTTAAAAACAGTGAAAAAAAACCCTACAGTTAGTCATCTATCAACATGAATTGGCAGTCATTAAAATGTCTTGCAGAAATATCTTTCTGTAAAAATTGCCCAAAATAATTTTTCCAAACCTTAGAACCTGAAATGTGATAACGAGACCGGGATGCAGCCTTGGAAAATTACACATGACAACACCAAAGTGTTGGGGATAAAAGTGCAAGCTAGAGCTAAACATCCATCCATCCATTTTCTAATCCGTTTATCCTCACGAGGGTCGTGGGCATGCGAGAGCCTATCCCAGCTGTCTTTGAGCAGTCAGCGGGCTACACCCTGAACTAGTTGTCAGCCAATCGCAGGGCACACAGAGACGAACAACCATCCGCGTTCACACTCACACCTAGAAAGGGGAAACACATTTTTCAACACACACACACACACACACACACACACACACACACACACACACACACATACATACACAAAATGCCATCGATTTATTTGTGATCCTCTTCATGACTGGCCTGTTACCAGTATCTGCATTGCGTTGAACCTGAGGATTGCTACGATATTCACTCACATTGTCCTGGGAAAAAAATCATCTGTCTGTCTTCTCAAGGACTTTCTCATCCATTTTGTCACAATGACTGTACAGTTCCAAAAAACAGTCACTAACGAGAGCGGCACGGCAAACATTTGATCAAGCGGCAACTGAACAAATTGTGCAGTGGAGGTGAGGTGTGTGTTTCGCAGATAAATGACTGAATGGACATCTCATGTAACTGCTTTATGCCACACAAGTAGAAACGACAAGTGGCCTGTGAGTGTCTGTGTGTGTGTGCGTGTGTGTGCGTGTGTGTGTGTGCGTGTGTGTGTGTGTGCGTGCGTGCGTGCGCGTGCGTGTGTGTGTGTGTGCGTGCTCGCGCGTGTGTGTAAGTGATTCCAAATTGTATGCTGACATACAATTACAATAATTGATGAAATGACATGTTAGGCTCAGTGGTAGCAATTTATACATGTTGCCAAACAATAAACCGCCCAGACACCCCAGCCAGAGCATCCAGATGACAAGACTTCAGTTCCAACAAATGATAATGATAGTGCATTTAATAATGACCACACCATTGTCATCTCTTGTTTTGCATGCCAGCTTGTTTGTGAGTAAGCGCACCGACTCAGAGTTGAAACTTGTGAACGAGAAAAATGCCATTTTTTCGCTGAAAATAGCACGTGAATGCTGAAAAGGTGAAAAGTTAAATGCTTGAATTGTTGAAATGTGAGTTTTGAATTTGAAATGATTTCAATTGGTCAAGAAATGTGAAACATCTCTGGACTTGGGAACTTAAATGTGAAAATGGGGGCATTTGGAGAATGCGAAATAGTTCCCTTCATGTTCTAGTTCCATTCATCGGGAATAAGATGAATAGTTTCAAGCCTGAATGGTTTGAATCAGTTGAGAACTGTGGAGGGAGTAGGCCTCTTAATTTGGGAGTTTTCTTGCCCTGAGATTTGTGAAGACTTGCAAGTTTGATCAGTGCATGGGTATACGGTGCATTCACTAAATGTTCACATAGTTTCACTTTTTCACATTTTATATGACAGCTTCTTTTCTCAAAATGGAGTACGTAATTTTTCCCCCTCAAAATTCTACACAAAACCAACACAAGGACTATTTCTGCCAGTTTATTAAGAATAAAAAGATCTCGCATGTACGTCACTCTTCACAGCCTGTGGACTCCAATTCAGTTGGATCCACCATCGGTGTGGAAACATGATGGATCTGAGCTCAATTTCGAACTTCATGGAAAAGGCTGTCAATACTTATGTTGGATTTCTTGGGGGGGGGGGTGTAATAGAGTTCCAAAAATGTTAAGAAAAAAAAAATCACATCTGTCATTATGGGATGTTGTGTGGAGTATTTTGACGGAAAAAATGAACTTATTGTATTTTGCAATGAGGATGTAACAGAACAAAATGTCAAAAAAGTGAAGCGCTGTGAATACTTTCCGGATACACTGCATGTGGAAGCATGACTGAGCTTTTTTTTTTTTTTGGATGTCTCCTTCACTTTAATTGTTCTTTGTTGCTGGTGGAAAATGTGGGGAATCTGGAAATGTTTGAAAGGTGGAAAAATACAAGCTCAAATGTCAATTTGGAGGTTTGAATCGACTGAGAAATGTGGAAGGACCAAAAAGTTGGGGGTGTGATCCAATTCAACAATAACATGCGCATTGACTTTGTCCACCTCATCTGGTGAACACTCTCAAAAATACTTCCTTACAAATATAATAACAGTTTTAGTTTTGACGACATTAGACATTTGTAATATTTCACCACTCAGTAAAATTGAACGCGGGCACCGGAGTGACAGCCGCAGATCAGCTGGATGCCACTCCACATCAAGTGCACACTTCAAGTACACAAAAGGGGATTACAATGACTCATCCTGTCATCAGCCGTTTCCATGGCTGCGCATCTAAAAGGGTGACATAGAAAAGCAAAAAAATAAAACACAAATTCTTACAGAAAAAAAGATTGCTATGTTATATTGACAATTGCCTGTTGTTATGGTTGTTACAATGTGTTTATGTTGCGGCAGTGTTGGAGCAATACAAGTGATGAATTCAACAAAGTTATATTATGCGGGAGAAAATACATGAACAAGAACAAAGTACAATTTTAAGAGTAATGAGGAAAAAAAGTTGGAATATTACACACAAAAAAAAAACAAACAAACAAAGCAAGTTTTGTTTTGAAGTTGGGTTCATTTTTATCAACGGATTTTGAAAAAGCTAAAAAAAAAATCCAGAAAGCCATGATACGAGTGTCGATTTTGGAGGGGAAAGTAAAATTTTGTTTTTGTTTTTTTTTTGTGAAAAGGTCATAACGTTGTCTGTTAGCTTTCAATAAAAAAGCAGTCATAGTATGAGAGAAATTGTCATTTCTCTTTTTATAATGAAAATGTTCGATTAAAACAAATATCCTTTTAAAGTAATAATATTTTGAGGGAGCAATGTTGTTAATGAATTGCAATTTTAAAATGTATTTTATTTCATAATGTTTTTTTTTTCATATCAAAATTTTTCCTAAATCATTCATTGCCAAGGACGTTTTCTTTCATGTTTATTTTAAAATCCAGGCATTTAATCCCAGGCATGTCAAGAAGGGTCTGAAAATGGCTGGCGTAGAATGAATGAAGCGGGGAAAAAAATTAATGAAGATTGGATTTTTTCTGAAAAATACAACTGTATTTTTGTAACATTAGGTTTCTTTTCTTCAAACACCATAAATGTATTCCTGCAAGCTTCTGCACACTTTGTGCAAACTCTTACAGAAACTCAAAAACATTCCTTTAGTAGTACTTACAAATTTATTGCCAGACTATCTTTCTTTGTGGCCCTCATGCTCCTTTGTAGCATCATTATGATCTACAGCAAATACATCCTGATAATTTGACATCAAAATGCTCAAAGTAAGGAGTCGATTCTTGCACCAAGCAAAGAACGGCAGCACATTGAGCCTCCATTTTGTTAGTCAGCTGCAATGTATTATAAAGGGAAAAAAAGGTGGAGGGTTTAGTCGTGGCAACTGTGAAGTTGGGTTTATTGTTGTGCGCCTCATGTGATGGATGAGGTTGCATGTCAAAAGGCTGACGACAATGTGGTCTTTCAAGTTTTTTTTTTTTTTTTTTTAATAAATCACACGTCCGTCATCTCGTCTTCCATCTCGTCGCCCTCCGTTGCACCTTCGGCCTCGGCTTCTTCTTCTTCATCGTCCTCTTCCTCCTCTGACGTCACGTCCGGCTCGTCCGTCTGGGAGACACACTTGGCACACGAGCAGACAAACATGTAGTTCTCCCTGAAGGCAAAACACCGCACGTTAGCCAGGCATTTAATCATTGTACATGCTTACTCTTCTGAACGACAGCTCATTGAAATTCGACACAAACGCACGTGTGACTCTGAGATCCTTATGAGACCAGCGTCATTAATTACACTAACATTGTAACTCAGGATGCCAGATTCATCCCCCCCAAAAGTAGCAATAACCTAACTGTATATGACAAGAAACACCACCAGAGAGGCTGAGGAGTGTGATCCCTCTGTCATCTGACCCCCACCTCCCACGACGCTCCCCCTTCTTAAAAAGAGGAACCACTACCCCAGTCTGCAAATCCAGAGGCACTGTCCCCGATGTTCATGCGATGTTGCAGAGGCGTGTTAACCAAGATAGCCCCATAACATCCAGAGCCTTGAGGAACTCCGGGCGGATCTCATCCTCCCCCGGGGCTTTGCCACTGAGGAGCTTTTTAACCACCTTGGTGACTTCAGAGATAGGAGAGCCCACCTCAGAGTCCTCAAACTCTTCCTCTAAGGAAAGCGAGTTGGTGGAGATAGATTTCAACAACTTTTTCTTGATTCAACAAATGTGGTGTGAGGGTGTTGCGCGTGTGTGTGAAACTGAACTAAGCATCTGCCAGACTGTCATTTGTCACAGTTACTTTGTGATTTAACAGGGGGAAATTACCTTTTCACATAGAGCCAGATAGGTTTCAATTTTTTTCCCCGTTGGTACATTAAATCATCATTTAGAAACTGCATTTTTTATCTTCTTGGGTCGTCTCTGTGTGATATTAAAATTGTTTTGATGAACTGAAACCATTGTGTGTGATAAATATGCAAAGAACACAGAAATCAGAAAGGGGGCAAATCCTATTTCACAGCACTGTATGTGTAGTGTTGTATTATTTTGTCATTTTGGGTTAACTGTTCTTTTGATGGCGGCGCGGGCACCTGCAGCGGCTCCTCTTGTTGTCTTGTTGAGAGGGAAGAAATTTCATCTGTGCTCTATGTTGCACATCCAGTGCATTTGACAATAAAATTGTACTTGACTTGACTGTATTCCTTGTCAAAGTCAAAGACAACTAAAAATGTCGGGAGAGGTCTGAAACTGGTTGTGTGCTGATGCTGCCTATCCAACCAGATAAGAGTTTTATCAATTTCACTTTTTGTTTTTAAATAAACGAAAACGTTTTTCACCTCGACAGTGTTGTGCGCAGAATTCTGAGGACAGACTGTATCATAAAATGCGGCGTAAGTGAAATACTGTGAATATTTTCTGGATGCACTTTATACCAATACCTTGTGAATGGAGAGAATAAGCACTGAATCAAAGTAAAAACAAGCAAAATGAAAATGCGCACTCTCTCCAAAAGTGCAAAACCAAGCATGTTAAAATGCAATTCAAAGACGGAGGAAGTGCCACCGCATAGATCAATAAACTAAAAGCTAAGCTCAGTGCGACCACTGAACCCTCAATACATTTGCCACGAAACAGCCCATTTTTGGCTGTCAGGTTTCTCATCGATCCATGTGGCTTATTGGCGCGTTCAAGAGATTCAAGATGAACAGAAAGGAGAGATTCGCAGCCGCCCACCTCAGAGTTTTGTGCCTGCTGTGGCGGCTTCTGCCCCGTTGACAGCAGTCCAAGTAACTGATGCAGATCTCCTGGAAATGACCCCAAACATAATTGTAGAACAAACATTCCACGGCAGCAATTCTCAAATGTAGCAAAATTATTGTCAATACATTCGAAACCTTCATGTGGAGCATGCCATCTTGAGAAAAAAAGAAGAAGAAAAAAAAAAAGAATCAATTCAGTAATTAATTAAATTGCACAATTAAAGAATATAAATTTTTGAGCTAGGTGTTCAGAAAACAAAATAAATTCTTTGGAAAAAGAAAGATTTTTTTTTCTTTTCTTTTTTTTGAACAACAAAATCATTTCGGAAAACGTCGGTGAATTTTACTAGTAAAAGAATCCAAATGTTATGACTAATTCAATTTTGGGGGGTAAATGTTAAGTTTTTTTTTGAATCATAAAAATAATTTGTATTAAACAGGACAATATTTTAATTGTCGTAATTGTAAAAGAATAAAGTTAAATCATAATATGAATAAAAGTTGGTTTTTTTTCAGTTTCTTTTTTGTTTAGAAAAAAATAATGTCATACTAGGAGAAAGTGAAAATGAAAACAGGAAAATTATAGCCAATGTTTTTTGGTAAAAAGTTGTCATATTATGAGAATAAAAGCATATTTAAAAAAAATAAATAAAATTGACAGAATGGTTAAAAAACAGCTTATTTATTTATTTGTTTTAGGAACAAAATAATAATTTTAGGATTAGGACTATCTGTTAAATGTTCGAGATGAAAATTGCATATTTCCAGGAAAAGAATAATGAATGAAGTAATAAGAAGAAAGAAGCATAAAAGGTCAATTCAAAGATTTACTGGAGTAATACAAATGAAAAATGTAACATTTTTAAGTCAAATTATGAATATCTATATCTATCTATATATCTATATCTATATATATATACACACACACACACACACACACACACACACACACACACACACACACACACACATTCACTCACCGACCACTTTATTCGGTACACCATGCTAGTAATGGGTTGGACCCCCTTTTGCCTTCAGAACTGCCTCAATTCTTTGTGGCATGGATTCAACAAGGTGCTGGAAGCATTCCTCAGAGAGTTTGGTCCATATTGACATGATGGCATCACACAGTTGGCGCAGATTTGCCGGCTGCACATCCATGATGCGAATCTCCCGTTCCACCACATCCCAAAGATGCTCTATTGGATTGAGATCTGGTGACTGTGGAGGCCATTTGAGTACAGTGAACTCATTGTCATGTTCAACAAACTAGTCTGAGATGATTCCAGCTTTATGACATGGCGCATTATCCTGCTGAAAGTAGCCATCAGAAGTTGGGTACATTGTGGTCATAAAGGGATGGACATGGTCAGCAACAATACTCAGGTAGGCTGTGGCGTTGCAACGATGCTCAATTGCTATCAAGGCGCCCAAAGAGTGCCAAGAAAATATTCCCCACACCATTACACCACCACCACCAGCCTGAACCGTTGATACAAGGCAGGATGGATCCATGCTTTCATGTTGTTGACGCCAAATTCTGACCCTAACATCCGAATGTCGCAGCAGAAATCGAGACTCATCAGACCAGGCAACGTTTTCCAATCTTCTAATGTCCAATTTCGATGAGCTTGTGCAAATTGTAGCCTCAGTTTCCTGTTCTTAGCTGAAAGGAGTGGCACCCGGCGTGGTCTTCTGCTGCTGTAGCCCATCTGCCTCAAAGTTCGACGTACTGTGCGTTCAGAGATG